GTGCTTGTATTTTAAAAATGCTTACTGTTTACCAAACACAGTGTTAGATATTTCATGTGATTTTCCTTTTCTTTAATGTTTAGTTTTATTTTTGAGAGAGAAAGAGCATGAGCAGGAACAGACAGGGAGAGAGGAAGACACAGAATCCGAAGCAGGCTCCTCACCCCCCAAGCTGTCAGCACAGAGCCCAACAGGTGGCTTGAACTCACAAACCACAAGATCATAACCTGAGCCTGTCAGACGCTTTACCAGGTGAACCACCCAGGTGCCCCTTATGTGTGACCTTTCATAGTTAATTCTCCCAAAAAACCTATGCGGCATATGTAACTACTATCCTTGTGTGTGTGTGTGTGTGTGTGTGTGTGTGTGTGAGAGAGAGAGAGAGAGAGAGAGAGAGAGAGAGAGATTAAACAGGGTAGAGAGGTTAAGTAATTTTCCCAGGCAATTTGTAGCTCTTCCTTACTATCCTCACTTTCCAAGGTGAACTGAGATTCAGAAAGGTTGAATATCTTACTTAACGTCACAGGACTCATAAGTGGCACACCTAGGATTCAAACCTACATTTTTCTTGAGTCTGTAGTCTGAGCTCTTACCCCCACTTTCCTATAACTCCTGTGCTATAACTCCTTCCTTTCTTTGAAGCTCTTGACATCTGCTTTCTTAAAATCTTCAGCACATATCAGCCTCTGCAGTATATTTCCTTTCCTCATTATAAATGCCAAGATGATGTGGTAACCATTCAGTTCTTCCTTGTCAGAGAGAGGTTGGTCCAAAATAGCAGTCTTTTTACTGCAGCTTATATTATTTCAGAGATGATGTTCAGTAAGGTAAGTAAAATAATTTTTAACCACTTTACTTTGAAATCTAAAAGACTTCTAGTAGATGTCAAGAGAGTTGAGATTTTCCATCAACATACGGTTTGTCTCTGTGGCACTCCATTATTTTAGTATATGATATTTCCCTAAGACTTGCAGGAAATCATATGTACAGGTATTAAATAGTAGACTGGGTATTACAATGGACGACTGTGTTTCCAGAATAATAATTTTAAAAATCCTTAATTATATCACAAATTTTAGAGAAAAAAGTTGAAGCTAGTTCAGCTTTTTAATAAATTATCCTTAATATTATTATTTTCCTTTAAAGTAAGCATCAAAGGAGAGCTTAACCCCAGTGAGCTCAACTGACAGCAAAGAATCCACTATTTTAGACACAATTAATGACTTCAATCTTGGTTTTAATTGTAATAAGCTTAGGAGACATGTATTACTTAGTAGTAGCATTGATATTCATCTGTCTATTTCCCACTCACATTTTAGAAAATAGTCACAGGGGTGCCGGGGTGGCTCAGTTGGTTGAGCATCTGACTTCAGCTCAGGTCATGCATTCTACCAAATGTCAGGAATACCTAGGAGTTATACTTCCCTTCTTATATTAAAATATTAAATTTGCCTTTGTTATCCATTTTAGTCAAGGTTCTTTATTTGCAACTAACAGAAATCAGCTTACATTAGCTTAAGCAAAAAGGGGGATTTATTGGAAAAGAACAAGGATGACTCATTAAACTCTAGGATAAGAAGTAAAAGCCAAGCTTTTTTGAACAGGTTGTTAATTCCCCTTTGGCTCTATGGGGTCCCTTGGTGGCTAAGTCTACCTCTCCTATTGGAGTCATAAGCAGTGAATCATTCTCAAAATGAATAGTTCAAAGATCCCATTAGATGCCTTGCCATTACCCTTATATAAACACTTATTGTTGTTGTAGTTAGTTTTTCACGTGTTTTCACAAACCCCATAATTTTCCAGGGAAGCATAGTGTCATGTACATAGTAGATGCTGACTGTATATCTGTTGAATGAATAACTGTTATACTTCAAATTTTAGGTGATGTCACGTATTCCTTCTTGGCTATAAAGGAGATGTGACAGTGACATCTGTCACTCCATTGACTGGCAGGATTGATTTGACTGATCTGAAACTTCATCCTTATGTTTTGTTCAGACCCCAATTTTCTATATAATGCATGAACATCTTAGAAGATCAACTAACACTAGTTTGGGATAATTATCTTGGCAAACTATCTGATTAGTTTTCTTTGAAAGCCAGATTTTCTCATTTGAAAAATTGTGTTTTTTTAAGTAATTGAACAGTTTTAATTACAGATCTGAATTAAGGAAATCTTTGCAAGAATAGACATTATTTTACTTTTTTCATACAAATTTTACCTTCACTTGAATGTGAAAACTTAGTGCTTTAAGTGCCCTGGTGGTGAGACTAGGTCAATAAAGCTGGAGGAAACAGTAGGCAGATCCTTAGCTAAGTTGTCCTATACCAAACCCTTCCTGTCTGGGACCCTTCCCCTTACTGTTCCTGGCCAGGTTCAGCCCCTGGGACCCTGAGACCCTGGGACCCTGCTTTTCTCTTAGCATCTTAGCAAGTTCTGTCTGATTCCCAACCAAACTCATCCAATCCCATCCTCAACAACTCCAGTTTGGCTTTCTAGTGTTTCTCTTTAAATATCTCATGACATCCTCTTGTGAAAATATTAATTGTGATTCAACTACATGTTTAGCTTTCCCCCCCACACCAAAGCCTGAGTCCCAATTACACACCCCTGCTATAGATTCTGTTCCCTCTTTTGAGGGTACAATTTTAATAATTAATATATTTTTAAGCATGGGTCTTTGCATCTGCTATAATGAAGAGATACAGCTCATTTATTAGTGTGAACATCAGTGGTAGAGTTATCATACAATGTATTGCCTATACTAGGACATGTCTGAACATGAAAGTAAGCAATATTAATAATTACTCTGGAATAACAAGTATACATCAAGATCACCCTGGGCAGACCAGAACTATTGTCCCCTTAATTATTAGTGATTGTCTGGTTTATCTAAGAAATTATTTTTTCTAAAAATTGAGATTCATTTATCTTTCTTGATGTGCTTAAATCTCTCTTTGACTTCACTAATTTTTGGAAATGAGTTATTCAAGAAATAGATTAAGGACCAGACTTATTAAAATGTTCTTTAAGCCTAGGTGTCCATCAACTGATGAAGGGATCAAGAAGATGTGGTTTATCTACACAATGGAATACTACATGGCAATGAGAAAGAATGATATATGGCCATTTGTAGCAACATGGATGGAACTTGAGGGTGTTATACTGAGTGAAATAAGTCAGGCAGAGAAGGACAAATACCATACGTTTGCACATATAGGCAGATTAGGAGGAACTTAACGGAGGACCATGGGGGAGGAGAAGAGGAAAAATAGTTGGGGAGAGGGAGGCAAACCATGAGAGACTCTTGAATGCTGAGAACAAACTTAGGACTGATGGGGGTGGGGGAGAGGGGAAGGGGCATGGGCATGGGGGAGGGCACTTGTTGGGATGAGCACTGAGTGTTATATGGAAACCAACTTGACAATAAACTATTTAAGAAAGAAAAAAATGTTCTTTAAAGCAAATGAACACTGTCCATCAATGGATGAATGGATAAAGAAGATGTGTAACACACACACACACACACATATATATTTATATACACACACTGGAAAATTATTCATCCATTAAAAGAATGAAATCTTGCCGTTTGCAGGAACATGGATAGAGCTAAAGAATATAATGCTAAGTGAAATAAATCACTCAGAGAAAGACAATACCATATGTTTTCACTCATATATGAAATTTAAGAAACAAAACAAATGAACAAAGGGTTATATAAAGAGAGAGAGGGAGAGACAAACAAAGAACAAGATTCTTAACTATTGAGAACAAACAGATTATCAGAGGGGAGATGGGTGGGGAGGGGGTGAAATAGGTGAAGGGGTTAAGAGCACACTTATCATGATGAGCACTGAGTAATATATAGAATTGCTGAATCATGATACTGTATACCTCAAACTAATATAACACCGTATGCTAATTATACTGGAATTAAAATTTTTCTAACTTAATAAAATTTTTTAAAAATCAAACCAACATCATCTCAAGGGCCTCAGGCTTTCAAAAAGAAGAGGCATTTGACATCACAAGTTCCTTTACAGGTTTGGGGACACTTTTAAAAAAATAAGGGATTGATTACACTGTCAGTTGGAGTTATATACTTCTCTCTTCATTCATGAGTAATTACCAGCTTCCTTACATTAGAATGGCATTAGTTCTTTAGGGGTTTTTTTGTTGTTATTTGTTTGTTTGTTTGTTTTAGGAGCAGAAGGTTACTTAATCCAAAAAACATGGTCAACATAGTTACGGAAAAAGATTTGGAGGCAGCTGGCTGGGTAGCTGAATATTTTCTAGTGTAACATTTTTTTTTTTTAACAAATAGTTTATTGTCAAATTGGTTTCCATATAACACCCAGTGCTCATCCCCACAAGTGCCCTCCATGTCCATCTCCCCCTCTCCCCCACACCCATCAGTCCTCAGTTTGTTCTCAGCATCATTAAGGTTTCTTGAGAAGCCTCTGTTCCTTGGACCAGTGTGGACTGTAAGGTTTTGTTATAGAAACATACATCCAAAATGGACTAAGTAACCTCTGTTATATAGCAATTTCTAAATCTCTAAGTTTAAAATAATTTTTTACATCTCTCTGTATAATCATAGAATATCTGAACTGATACTTACCTCAAAAATATCTAATCCAGAGGTTCTCCACTGCAGCTACATATCCAAATGTTTGTGGAGCTTAAAAACAATACTTTTGTCTCTCCTCTTTCCAGATATTCTGATTTAAGTGGTCTGGGAGGGGACCCAGGCACAAGCATTTGAGGGGAAAATGTCTCAGGTGATTTTAATGAGTAGTCAGGCCTGAGAACCTCTGGTTTAATTCAACTACTTCATTTTCCTTTTGAGAAACCAAGGCCCTTTTACTTCAGCTGTCACTGTGGGTTAACAATCCAAATATCCCTGTGAATTGTGAGATGTTTTTAAAAGGGCTCTGTGAATGTGACATCACTTTCTTTATTTAGAACTGATCATAATTTTTATGGCTTCCAACAGATGTCTTGGTTTCTTGAATTATCCTTTTTTCGTCATGGAGCTTCTAAAGCACTTGCTGCCAAAGGAGCCGGAAGGTATGCTGGGTTTTTCATTGTTGTTGTTGTTCTCCAGGTAGTAGAACATATTTTAGCTTTTTAATTACTTGCCAGTATTTTTGCTTTGATTTCTTTGTTTATCTTTTTTGCCCACTGAAGTTTGTCTCCTAACGCTAGATTATGTGGATGTGTCTCTGAAGATCTCACAACTTAAAAAATAGTTCTTTTGCTTTGACACCTGGGTAATAATAGTTTAGCTCAGGGGCAGCAAACTATGGCCCCTGCGTTAAAATCAGTCAGCTGCCTGTTTTTGTAAATAAAGTTTTATGGATTGTCTATGTCTGCTTTTTTTTGTAAATACAATTTTGTAAATAAAGTTTTATTAAAACACTGTCCTGACTACCCATTTATAGATTATCTATGTCTGCTTTCAAACACAACAGCAGAATTGCAACAAAGCGTATGACCCACACTGCTAAAGATATTTACTACTTGGTTCTTCACTGAAAAAGTTTTCTGACCTCTGGTTTAGCTAGTTCTAAGCTTCTTGGCCTGCAAGACATTTTTAGGCATTGTTCCTCTATCCTCTAATGTTAAATGATGCTGTGAGGATGTCAGAGGTCATCTTGGTTCCCATTCACCCTTTCTTTATCCACATTAATGTCTTGGCCTTTTTGCCTGAATGCTGAAAGGATTCTATCTTTGAAATCTAGTATTCTGTATCTTGGCATCAAATATTTTACATTAATGTTCTTGGAACACTCTGTATTTGATTCTTTCTTTCCTTTTTTTTAAATCTATTTTGATTATATACAGAATTGAACACCTGTAATCCTAAGATACCAATTATGTACATTTTCACTTAACTTTGGCTTCTATAGTGCTTTTTGCATATTTATTTCATTTTGTTCATTTCTTAAAACCTTGTCTTCTGTGGAACTTACAGTATTCTCAGTAATATCTATCCTTTCTTTCCTTTCTTCCTTGGCTCTTGCATTCTGCTTCAGAGTGTTAAAAATTTTATTAAATTCTTGGGGCCTACATGAATATGTTTGGTCATAATTTTAACTGCTTGGTGGTAACATTTGGGGGGGCGGTGAATGTTCTTCACTTCCATTTGGTTTTTTTTTTTTTCCTGTTTCTTTTCTCCTTTCTCTTGTAATATCTTTATGTACTGGTTCCTTTTTAATTGCTATTTATCTTTGAATGAAACAATTTCTTTCTCAACTAGCTATTTATAGGAAATTCATAGATACAGAACAAGATTGTATTTTTGAGTTATAAAGAATTCTTTCTAGTTCATAGCTCATTCTCCAACATCCATTTCTTTCTTCTTCTGTAACAACAGAAACCAGATTCTATTCATTGTCATCATGTCGAGCTAAAACCCTAAAATGCCCACTTTTCATTTTAGATGGTTATGGCTGTGTGACTAACTCTATCCACCAATATGTAAAGCAAAAGTGTTGAGTGTGGTTTCTGGATAAGGTCCTTGGATATAGGGCAGGAGGGAATACTTCTTATCCCTTCAGCCTGGAATATGATAAGACTGAAGCTCCAGAAGCCATCTTAAACTTGAAATAATCTTGAAAGTGGAAGCCATGTACAGAGGGAAGCAGAGCAGAAAGTTAGGAGCTGGGTTCTCTGATGACACTATGAAGCTACCGTACAAATCTTATTTTAAAAATTTTTAATTCTTTTAAAAATAATTTTTCTTTTAAAATTTTTAAAAATTCTTTTGGGGCACCTGGGTGGCAGTCAAGCATCTGACTTTGACTCAGATCATGATCTTGTGGTTCATGAATATCAGCCTCACCTAAGGCACTGTGCTGACCGCTCAGAGCCTGGAGCCTGCTTTGAATTCTGTATTTCCCTCTCTCTCTGCCCCTCCCCTGCTCGCTCACTCTCTTTCTCACTCTCAAAAAGATAAATAAAAACATTTAAAATTTTTTAAAAAATTATTTTTAAGTGAATGAGAAACAAACATCTATTATGATGTTAAAGCTTTTGGGCTTTTCCTTCTTATATAGCTGAGCTTAACCTTAACTGACACAGTAATAAAACTTATAATGCAGGGTTGCATGAGTGAGTGTGGGAATATGGGTGTGGGAGAGAATTGTTTTTGCCTTTGTTTTTTCAGGGCTAATGGAAGGTGGTGGCTGGCAGTTCAAGGTCTTTTTCACTCATCTCCCCAACGGATTGCTTCCTGTTAGGAGGTCATGTTTGTGTGATGCTGCTTTCACCCCCAGCTTCCCCACTTGTCTGGGGTGACACATGAGGACCGAAGAAGCTTCCATTACAAGACTGTGCGTTCCATCACCATTGTTCAAATATGGAATTGTTGGCCTCTCTTCTCAAGGTCTCATATTTCCTAGGGGAACCGGAGCTGTGCAGGTTCTGTCTGAGGTCTGTGTTTGCAGGTGGGTCTGGGCACTGCCTTCCCATGGGCATCCCTAGTGGCCTCTGCATTGAGCAGCTCCTTCCTCACCTCCTGTGGTTCAGATTGGAGTTGTTTCCTAGTCTTGCCAAAGATGGAGCTTGCATTTCTCTTTTCCTTCTCTTTGTTGTTGCAGGGTGTTTTTGGAGAAGAGAAGAGGCACAGGTATCTATACGCCACCATGTCAAAACCAGAAGTCTCCTTGCTTTATTTTTAAAACAACATTTTCATAAATTAGAAAGGGATGCATGTTCATTCTGGACATGTTAGAAAATTAAAAAAAAAAAAAAAAGAAGAAGGGAAAAACTTGCTGATAATTTTACCCATCAGTGGTGACTCCTGTTAACATTTTAGACAATATTTTTCCAAAATTTCTCTCTTTCATTTTCTCTATAAGTAAACTGATACATAGATAGGTTATTTTTTAAATCTGCATGCTATTTTTTAACTGTATTCATGTAACTTTTTGTGAACATGATATGGAATACCATTGAATAGCCCACAACATTATTGTTCATTGCTCTTTGGCATTCCAAAGTATGAGTATAACATAAGTTATTAACCAATCCCCTAGTTTGGACACTCCCCCCCCCACTTTAACTACTATAAATAATGCTGCAATGCATTTTTTTAACTTAAAAAAGGAAAAGGCTCAGCCTGCCCTATTTTTCACATTTCCTTAGTAAAATCTTTCTACTGTGAAATTTCAGCTCTGGTCAGATGGTCATTCATTAGGAATTAGTAGTGGACTGTGAGATTCTTATTATTATTCAAGATCAGTGCAAAGGCAGAATGGTAAATGGGAGCCCTGGAGCTCAGTAATTATTTTCAACACTGTGGCGGACTCACGCCAAAGCTCTGTGTATGCACAAAGCCACAAAAGGCCACAGACTTTCAAGAATTGGGAGACCTGCCCGGCTGGGGATTCCTCACACCTTATGACCTAAAGGGACCTTCTATCTCCTGTGAAGGTCTCTTTAAAAAGACTGCTTATTTTAAACTTATAAAATAGTTTCAAAAACAGTACAGTTTCCTTTTATCCCCTTGCCCCACGTCTCTTAATCATCTTATATAACTATAGAATGAGATATGATCATTGGCACAATCTAGGCAACTGAACTGCAGACCTTATTTGAATTTTACTATTTTCCCCACTAATTTTTTTTTTGTACTAGGATCCTAAGGATGATCCCACATCGTATTTAGCTGTTGCTTCTACTTACTCTTTCCTAAGTATAAGAGTTCCTCAGTCTTTCCTTGTCTTTTCTGACCTTAAAGTTTTTGATAAACACTGGTTAGATACTTTGCAGATTTTCTCTCAGTTTGGGTCTATCTGACATTTTTTTCATGATAAGATTGAGGCTCTGCATTTTGGGCTGGAATATTACAAAAATGCTCTTGTATCTCAGTGCATCATATTAAGGGGTTCATGAGGTTGATGTGTCTAACTGCTGGTGATTTTATCACCTTGATCACTTGGTTAAGTTGTTGTCTGACCAGTTTCTTCATTGTAAAATTATCACTTTTCCCTTTGTAATTGATAAATATCTTGGGAGAGATACTTTCAGATTATGCAAATCCTATTCTTCCTCGAACTCATGCCCAATAATCTTAGTTTCCATCAATGCTTCTTTCCTGCAACAATTTCTGTTATGTTTGTCTAATGATGATTCCGTATTTCCCTCTTCTCTTCTAGGTTTATTAATTGGAATCTGTTGTGAGAAAGAGCTATTGCATTCCCTATTTCTTTCTTTTTTTTTTTTTAAATTTTTGAGAGAGAGAGAGAGACAGCGTGAGCAGGGGAGAATCAGAGAGAGAGGGAGACATAGAATCCAAAGACAGGCTCCAGGCTCTGAGTTGTCAGCACAGAGCCTGATACAGGGCTCAAACCCATGAACCATGAGATCATGACCTGAGCCGAAGCCAGATGCTCAACCGACTGAGCCACCCAGGCGCCCCACATTCCCTATTTCCTTATAGGATAATATATTATATCAACATGGACACATGGGTATTTATTTTATTCTCTGGATTAAAATATCATGATATCATTATTTATTTTGTTCAAATTGTTCCAGTTTGAGCCATTCGAATCTCCTTCATGTTGCCTCCTGTTTTCTTTGACATGCTCCCATCTCACTTCAGGATTTTCTTGCTTTTTGCCACCACAGCAATTTCCAGGATCATCTTGTGTTTACCCTACCCCTACTTTGAAAGCAACCACTTCTTGGGGTTCTTTTCATTGAAGGATGGTGTTTAGAGACCGAGTATGTTCATTATTGCTGGGCTATTATTGCTACCAACAGATAGAGCTAGAAAAATATATATGTATGCATACGAACCTACGTATATACATATATCTATATACTGGCACTTCTGATTCCACTCCAAAACCATGAGGTTTATTCTAGTATCCTCCTTTCCTTATTTATAGTTTTTTTTTCCAACAGTAAGAAACCCAGCTCTCATTAACTACAATTTATCTATTTATTTGTTCAATTCCTTTTTTTAAAATATGCTCAATTTATTTTTGAGAGAGAAGGATAGAGAGAGAGAGCAGGGGAGAGGCAAAGAGAGAGGGAGAGACAGAATCCCAAGCAGGGTTCTCACCATCAGTGCAGAGCCTGACATGGGGTTCAAACTCATGAATCATGAGATCATGACCTGAGCTGAAACCAAGAGTCAGATGTTTAACCAACTGAGCCACCTGTTCAATTCTTTTTTTTTTTTAAGGTTTATTTATTTATTTATTCTGAGAGAGAGAGAGCACACGTGTGCATGAGCATGCAAGTGGGGGAGGGGCAGAGAGAGAGAGAGAGAGAGAGAACAAGAATCTTACAAACTGTGAGATCATAACCTGAGCCAAAATCAAGAGTTGGACTCTTAACCAACTCGGCCACCCAGGCACCCCGTATTTGTTCGATTCTAATGTTTACCTAAAGTAGTTTCAGAATTGCTAATCTGCACCCCTGCGAGAAACACTTTTGCTAACTAGATCACAGCATTTATACAGTTCTTTTTTTTTTTTTTGTCTTTAACCTTGCAGTATTCTATCAAGACATGTTCTTCTATACTTCCTTAGGTTAGTTCTTTTCTTCCCCATGCATTTCAGTGCACTTATGCTATTGATTTATAGTACAGCTATTCCATTCTGGGTTTTCTTTTCCTTATATACTGGTTGATTTTAACTATTTGTTTATTTTGAAGGGATGTGAAAGGTTTGTGAAACAATACCACAGTTCTAGGAGTCACTGATGTACAAAAAGATACACATAGAGAGTATCACTCAACCCTGCTACTCTGTTCCCATCCCCCACTCCTCCCACCTCTTTCCACTTACTTCCTATAGATAACTACTATTTAGCTTCTGGTTTATGTTTTCTTTATTTCTTTTGTATAAATGGGCAGATACCTGTATGTATTTTCTTATATCCCCTTCTTCTTCCATAAATGATAGCATTTTAGAGATGCTCTTTTGGGCTTTGCTTTTCTTCACTTAACAATATGACCTGGAAATTACTTCATATTTGTTCATAGACATCTTCCTCACTTTTTTATAGCTGCATAGTATTCCACTGTATGAATGTTTCATGGGTATTTGGTGGTTTCCAGTATTTGACAACTACAAACAAAAAAGTATTCTTATGCATATGCAGTTTTGCATTTACCCAAGGGATACAGAAATGCTGATGCATAGGAGCACATGTACCCCCATGTTCATAACAGCACTCTCCACAATAGCTAAAACATGGAAAGAGCCTAAGTGTCCATCAACAGATGAATGGATCAAGAAGATGTGGTTTATCTATACCATGGAATACTACATGGCAATGAGAAACAATGAAATCTGGCCATGTGTAGCAACATGGATGGACCTTGAGGGTGTTATGCTGAGTGAAGTAAGTCAGGCAGAGAAGGACAAATATCATATGTTTGCACGTATAGGAGGATTAGGAGGAACTTGACGGAGGACCAAGGGGGAGAAGAAGGGAGGAAATGGTGGGGGAAAGGGAGAGAGGCAAACCATGAGAGACTCCTGAATGCTGACAAAAACTGAGGACTGATGGATGTGGGGGGGAGGGAGGGATGGGCATGGAGGAGGTCACTTGTGGGGATGAGCACTGAGTGTTATGTGGAAACTAATTTGACAATAAACTATTTGTAAAAAAAATAAATAAATAAAATAAAAAAAATAATTAAAAAAAGAAAGAAAGAAAGAAAGTGTATCTTTAGGGTAGATTCCTAGAAGTGGGATTGCTGGGTTGAAAGGTAAATATGTATGTAGTTTCATTAGGTATTGCCAAATTTCTATCCGGAAAGGTTGTTCAAACTTGCATTTTCATCAGCAATTTATAAAACTACATTTTTCCTATAGCATCACCGACAGAATATGTTGTCATATTTTTAAAACTTTGCTGGTCTAATAGGTAGGACATAAGATCTCAGTGTTTTAATTTGTATTTTTCTAATTATGAGTGAATTTGAGCATTTTTATATGTGTGGGGCTTATTTTTATTATCTATTTTTTGTGTATTGCCTGTCCATTTTTTCCCTCATTTTTCGTTGACTTTTTCATCCTTAGTATCTCAATTATTAAGAGTTCTGTTTTCTTGTTTTTTTGAGAGAGAGAGCAGGGAAGGAGCAGAGAGATAGGGAGAGAGAGAATCTCAAACAGGCTCTACACCCAGCATGGAGCCTCATGTGAGGCTCAACCTCATGACCCAGAGATCATGACCTGAGCAGAAATCAAGAGTTGGATGTTTAACTGACTGAGCTATCCTGGCACCCCTATTAAGAGTTTTTTATATACTATAAATACTAGCCCTTTGTCTGTGGTATAAGTTATGAATCTTTTTTTTCCAGTTTGCCAATTGCTTCTTGACTTCATGGTGCTTTCATTATGTAAGATGGGGA